CAAGCGGCAAGATGAGCGTGGGACAATCATGTTTGATAGACGACGGCGATGTGCCGTGCCCCTGGTTGCTTGGTTGTTTGTTGTGGATGAACTGATCAATGTTTTGCTTCTTCGACAAAGAGAGTGGCTGCCAAGCTTGTCGTATTAAGATATGAAAGTCGAGACTGCTACTGAGAGCTGAACACGATTCAATTAAGCTCGCTGGGTGCTCAACATATAAGATGAACGTCTAGCTTTCAAGAGCAGCGGAATACGGCGATATGAGAAGACGCCCTGCCAAGTACCCAGAGCCGAGGTGCACGCCCTCCGAAATACAGTGGTGCTTACCTTACTTACAAGGAAGGTCCAGACTGGAACCCCACCGCGCCACGCTGCCTGTGGCTTAGCGTAGGTCGATTTCGCGATCCCACGATACTCACTCTCACAACTCATAACCATGACAAAAACTTCACAAACACCACCCATTCTTCACGATAACTCATAAAATGATGAGTCCGGGCAAAAGAGTACTCCTCGACGGGGAATTGAACCCCGGTCCCCTGCGTTTCATTGAATTTCAGTGACAAGCAGATATCCTCACCACTAGACTATCGGGGATGTGTGGATGTTTTCATCCAGTGATAGTTGGTTGACGGCTCAGACCCGCTGAGGCTATATGAATGATCCATCTCTTAGCGCAAGAACAGACATAGCCCTAAGCTTAGTAAAATAGTATACCGGCCGAGACATATTTTAATCCCTTTTTATTACTACTACCTCTCTCATTACCTCTCTCATTGCCTCTCTCATTACCTCTCTCATTACCTCTCTTATTATACTCTTTCTTAGCTTCTCAAGACATATTATTAATGGAATAATTATAGAGTAAAGAAAAGCAATTGTCTTAGCAATAATGATAGTATTAGGAATAGAGCTCAAGATATACTTAGACTTGGGGATACCGATTTTTAGTCCGATCTCTTACGCCCGTCGGGGTCAAGGAAGCAGGCCTTCTCGAGGGTGTCTTTCTCTTCGTCGTCGGGGAGGTTGAGAGTAACAGCAAATAAAGTCATATACTATTACAAGACACCGACCTGCCATTCTATTGTGGGACAGGTCGAGGCACTAAAACCCTCGGCCTCTTTATAGCTTTCTGCTTTGCAGGATAAAGTTGCCACGGACCCGGCTCGGTATATACACGGTCACTACATAAACACTACAATCAGCCTATCATAGCGCACATAAACACTGTCGACTGTGGGTTCATCACGGGCTTGATCACCGAGGGCGATGGAAAAGAGTATACCTGCCTGAGCCACTTTATCGACCACTGGCCGACCATCGATAGCTACCTTGCCAGGGAGTCTGATAGCTTCGTCGTGCTTCTATAGAAGCTGCCCGATGGATTTTCCCCTTGGTAGTAGTCGCGATGCCATCTTCATCGTCGGTGTCGCTACCACAGGCTGTGTAGCTGCTCAGAGAGTAAACAAGGTGGTAAGGCCAGATCTGGATACGAGCTTAATATACTCTTACGCGGGTGATAGATTCATCCACTGCTCTCCTGGGCCAAATCTGCCACTCTTATAGCGAACAAAGGAAAACAATAATATATATATATATATATATATATATATATATATATTTAGAGAAATGCTTTAGCTTATTCTGTATTGTTATATATTACTCTATCAATTGTTTTTGGCTTATTCCGTGCTGAATAGGCCTTGGTTGGAATGTGAGAGCTTGAGAGGGCCGGCGAAAGGTTTTTGGCTTTATTCGTCACAGGGTCTCTTTTGTGAGCTGTGTATCAACGACATCACGGCGCCAGAGCAGCGAAAGCAGCGGCAATGGCCAGACGAAGCACACCTGAAGCGCCACCAGGAAACAAAGTTTCATGTCGGCTACGAAGCTTGGTGCAGACGCGTCAAGTTTATCAAGAAGACACACAAGAGCACGGGATATGAATGCGAACTTTATGCGAGTTCTGCGCCCCCCAAGGCCCCCGTCCATCTCTTCGCCACAGTCGACGAGCTCGAGCGTCACATCTCCGGATCAGATTCTGGTGGTATCACGGGCATTCGGGCGGCTTGGGTGACGGAGCCTGCGATTATCGAGCAGCACGATGCCTTGAAGCAAGCTCTGGGATGGGATCGACCGGAGTTCCGATCCTCCGCTGCCGGTGAGCAGCGGAACCAGGCTGATCGTAGCAAGAAACGAAAGAGCCGCGGGTGGCAGTCTGAGAATCTCCGGGAGCTCGACGATGGACTTGATGTCCCAGGAAATCCGGCCATCATCTTGGGCGGACCGCGCAGGCCAAGCTTTCCAGCCATCAACGACAGAAAGGGCAGTGTACTTTTGTACCCAGCTCAAGAGATACTACCAGAACGTTTAGCGGATTTGCTCTCGATTGCATTCACCGTCCCGGATGAGCATGTGGGTGTGCCGGATGCTGAGTCAACTGTGCACGCACACCTTGCCAACCACCGCTCGAGTATGGTTACTATTCTGCCGCCCCCAGGCACGAACGACAACACGCCTAGCCACCATCTTGACATCATAAGCCTTGTCAACAACAAGGCCGGCACGTCCAAGCCCTGAGAGGATGCTGGGTTTAATGATATGACTTATACGAGCAGTGTGGAGAGACATGATTCGCGGCTTTACTCAGGGGAGGAGTGTCGTGAAGGTGACGAAAGGGGGACGGCCGAGTCGCCGGGGACGAATACTTACTTTGCAAAACAACTGCTTGCCTCATAAGTTCAAACTGGCCTGGTCTTTTCTCTCCTTTTTTTCCTAGGAGATAGCAAGATATTATGAAGTTCAATGTCCAACAGCCTCACCAATGCCTCTTGTAGATTCACAGTCCGTTTCTCATACCAGAGGCACTTGATGTACATTGCCTCTCTGCGGAAAGAAACGAAATTTGAGTTCCCCATGATTTGACGTGTTCAAGTGACGTGATGGAGAATCTTACAGTACAATGTCCCTTGAAGCTTCATATTCAAATCGTGTATGGCACAGTACGATAACAGCAGCCAGAACGGTCGGGACACGTTGTCAATCTTCGTTGGATGTCTTGTAGGTAGCTGTCTAAAGTATGCTTCTGCAACGTGAATCTGATACGTGATACATAGCTCCCAACGCTTCATGCACCATGGAGTGCGCCCTATAGTTCTATCTCTCATTGACATGCCAGATGATGCTCCCTTTCGCGTTCAAACGACCATTCTCTACCACACTATCACTCTTTGCTGTTATTGGAGCTGCTCGAGCCGGTCTTCCGGCGCTTCTGGCGTGATGGCCTTTGCAGAGACTCGTCGGAATCCGACGGCTCCACCTGTGTGGCTGCTGCTCTCTTGACTCTGTCGGCACCCAGTGCCAAGTAGAGGTCCTCAATCCCCTCCTGCGAGAGGCTGACGAGGGCAGTGACGAGATCATCATCTATGCTACGATTAACATACGCATCCAACTCCGAGTAAAAGGACTTTGTACTTACTCGACTCGGAAGAATCCGACTCCAACTCGTCGCATATGGCGTCCCTGAACTCGGTGGCATTGTGGCCAAACGTGGCAGTACTGCCTCGCTTGACATACGGCTTGTACTTCTTGCGTGCGATGAAGGAGTCGTATTTGGTTGTGACTACTGCCCAAAACTGCTCCTTGATGCATCGAACGGCAGCCTCGTCCTCGTCGTCACCCTCATTGTCCGACTCATCCTTGCGCTTTTTGCCTTTGCTTATGCTTTGCTCAAGGTTAGTTACAATGTCTAGTTATAGAAGAACCAATGAAGGGGCTGCCTGGCTCTTCACCGTGCTCAAGAGAAGTCATACTTTTCACTCTTTGTGAGCTGCTGCTCGATCCTCGTCAACAGCTTGAGCATCAGTGCATTCTGCCGACATAAGACCTCAAGATTGTTCAGGACTACTTGGTCCGAGAGGCTCAGGACGGACGCATCCCGGGGCATCGCCCACATCGCGGTTTTTTGTACGTCTACCTCAACGTCGGGTAGCTGGGTGGTTGTCTTTCTCGCTCGGGGCATTGTACTTTAAGTAGGGTTTATCGTCTCTGTAGGGAAGAAAATTGGACGTGTACGTGAGAGGACACTCGGTGGTGCGGCTGGGGGGGGGGGGGATCAGAAAAGATCAGGCTGCTTCGTACGAAATCGAAAACTTGATGACTCTCGTAAGAAACAAAAGGACAATGTACTTCGTGTGACTAGATGTAAAAGTGTACCGGCCGAGTCGACGTGATCACATGGAATGATGGAGATTTGAACGTTGGTTATTCAGACCCGACGATGCTAGACTGAGAAAGCTGAGATTTGGAGAGGACGAGAGGACGAGAGGACGAGAGGACGAGAGGACGAGAGGGTAATGCATTTTTTTTGTGGGATTCGCCGATGTGCCTTGGGGTATGTCACGGGCGTGACGAGGTGAGAAGGAAATTGGTCTGCGGAAGGCACGATGTAGTCATTGCGCTTGCCCATCGTACCTTCCCGCCCATCGTACCTTCCTACCCATCGTGCCTTCCTATCAACGTTACCCTCCCCCCCCCCCCCCCCCCCCCCCCCCCCCCCCCCCCCCCCCCCCCCCCCCCCCCCCCCCCCCCCCCCCCCCCCCCCCCCCTCCCCCCCCCCCTCCCTCCCCCCCCCCCTTTCCCCCCCCCCCCCCCCCCCCGGTGCCTTCCCACACAACCACCCTTCCTCCTCCCATGCCTTCCTACCCAGCCGTCCTCCCTAAAACACTATCCTCGCTAGGTACATCACCATCCTCGCTGCTTCACCGTCCTCAACGCATCACCATACAACTGACTAGCTTCACGCTCTGAATCACTACTTATATCAGACATCTCTGGCGGCAGGCCGAGTAAACTTTTCGCTTCCTCTCACTTTTTTATATTCGGCTTCGACACCTCTACCTCTCTCGGGCGAACTCATCTCGCACACGAAGGCGTCATAAATTCATACAATTCAGAAAAGGACAGTGCCCTTTCACTCAACTATCACGCAACCCGAGGACAACATGGTCTCCAAGAAGCTGCGTCGCAGAGTGAAGGGCGAGGCCGAGAAACTTCGGCGTTTTTGCGCCGAGCATGAAGTGAGTCTCGCTCTGAATCTTTGGCTGTAAAAGGAGACACACTTATCCATTTGTTTAGGTTGGTCAGGCTTGGATGCGCTATAAGGCGGAAGTTGATGCGATCTCGATGGCCAGAAACCTCGCGAGATTGGACTTGGGCAACGACACCAAGGCCATCGAGGAGACGGGAGCCGAGCAGTCATCTCTGCCTTCATCAAGGCCCAAGAACAAGACGCAGCGACAAGCTACTCGTCGCAGGATTCATTACAAGGAGGACACAGACGGCGACATCTCTAGCGATGAAGGCGAGGACGATGACGATGACGAAGACGACGATCAGAGTACAGTCACGGAGGCCATGACCGACGATGGCATGAGTCTGTCAAGTCTCGCATCAGGAGAGGAGTACACAGCGGAGGAACTGGCCGACGCTCAGAACCAGCTTGATGGCCAAAAGAGCTATGCCCTTTTAGCGCGTGAGCAAGACGACGACGATAACCAAGTCTTGTTTATGGAGGTTAGTGATGACGAGGATGGCGACGATGATGAGGAGTACGAGGATGATGAGATGCTAGATGCGAGCTCGGTGGACTCCTTTATGGAGGAGGACGAGGAGAAGGACGAGGCGGAAGTAGAGGATATTACGGCTTCGGAGAAAGTCTTCTTTGATATTGACGAAGGCTTTGCGGCTCAGAAGCGTAAGGGCGAGGAGCAGAGAGCGGCCAGGAACGAGGACAAGAAAGCGAGGCGTGCAAAGAAGAGAAAGCTGGCACAAGAAGTAGAGGAGTAGCTCAATTTCGGGGCATTTGGGACCCCTATGAAGCGAAAATAGACGCGTGCTGGGCAGTCTTTTATTTTGGTATTCTGAGAATTCATTCTGGTTTCCTACCTTTGACAGAGAGGTTGAATAGTCAAGACGACAAGAATAAGAAAGTCAGGAATGATAAGCAGGCCAGTAGGCATCGTAGTCTTCGCCTAGCATCTTCTTATTTGGTCACCCACTTGCCAGCCTGAGTCTCGCTTTGAGTACGGGCACATAGGTCTGCTCGCCGCCTGGCAGCGATACCATGACTGATGACGGCAATAGTTTGTCAAGTCTTGCGGCAGGGGAAGATTATACGGCAGAGGAACTGGACGACGCTCAGAATCAGCTGAACAACCAAAAGAGCTACGCCCTGATGCCGACGAGGACAAGAAAGTAAGACGAGCAAAAAAGAGGAAATTAGCAGAAGAAGTAGAGGATAACTAAAAAATAAAAACAAAATAATATCTCTAAATACCAAGATCACAAACTACTAGTCAAGTAGGCAACACAGTCGTTTACCGCTCTATAAGTATCAACGTACCTAGCTCTCTTATCCTTCTTCTTCAGAGTACTCTCTCATAAATATATAGAATACAAAGATAAGAAGAATGATGAAGACAGCGAGAACAATGAGGATAGTAAAAACAATAAGGATAATAAAAATAGTACAGGAAAGCTGCCTCTGCCCTGGCAGTCGGACTGATTTGGAGTAGCTGCAGCATTGTCATGCTGATGGTCGTGTCTCGCAGGGTTTCTCCGATGCTGAATGGCTTGATACCGTACTCAGTTGTGCCCTTGATGGGCAGCAATGTCCTGGGCCGTCTTCCAGACTTGGCTTCAACCGCGGTGCGATCATGATGGTTGTCTGCATTGGTTGGTGATTGGGGTGATGCCTGTTGTCTTTGTTTTCCCTTGGAGGCTTCATTTCCTCCCTCCCACCAAAGGCAGTAAGAACGATAAAGATAATAAGAAGGATAAAGATAGTGGAAACCTCAAGAATGAAGATAAGAAGAATAAGAAAGTCAGGAACAATTAAGAGGTAAGTAGGTATTATGGTCGAGTGTCGACCAGCATCTTATTTTGTCACCCACTTGCCAGTTTGAGTCTCGTTAGGAGGGGTCCTAAATGCCCCGCAATCGAGCCTTATCATCACTCAAGCACCATTGGTTGATTTGTTTTCTAGCGTGTACAACTACGCCAATCAAATCCTCCTTGGAGATGCAAGGCTGAAAGCTCCATTAAAAAAATTCTGGACGTCCTCTGCAAGCCGCTCGTCCATTCCCACCTCGATCCGCTGGTGCGCCCACGACCAAACGAGACAAGAAAATCACCACCGACCGGCGACAATGGCAAAAGAACAACCGTTTGAGCAATTCTCCGAAGAGGAAGAGGTCACCTCCTCCGAGGAGTCAGAATTTGAGGAGGAAGTCCCCCGCCAACGCAAACCGAAACCCGTGTTCGACGAAAAGGATTCCGACGAAGAGGAGCTCGAGAAGCTGGTCCTGGGAGGCAAGGCCGATTTCCGCGAACAGCTCTTCCGCAACGATGTTCTCGGCGATATCGAACGACTCGAGAGAGAAAAGAACCTCCAGCTCACCAAGCCGGACGACGAGCCCACACTAGAGGAAGTCGCCGACCACGATCTCTTCTTCCTCGACACCGGAGTCCCCGCGGCAAAGGGCGGCGCAAAGGCGGGCAGCAAGCAAGAGCCAGCGGCCGTTGACGAGAACGCGCCTGCGTGGGAGGACAGTGATGACGAGCGATTGACCGTTTCCCTAGCGGCCGCGACGAGGTTACGAAAGCTGCGCATCACCGAGGCCGAGGACATGGTCAGCGGCGCAGAGTACAGCAGAAGACTGAGACAGCAATTCGTCCGCCTCAACCCGCTGCCAAAATGGGCGCAAGAGCCTTCGTCCGAGGGAAGGCCCGCAAAGAGGAGAAGGCGCTCCTCGGCCGCCGCCTCCGACTCCTCTATTAGCTCCGACGAAGAAGGCAGCGATACGAACCTCTCCGCGGCGCCCCTCGAGAAGTTCATGCGCGACGTCCACCGCCTCGCCGGCAAAGGCGCTGCCAACGGCGGCAAAGCCCGCCTCCGCCCCGAAGTCATTGACATCCAGCGCACGCGCGAGATCCCCGACACCCACAAGGCAGCCGTCAACAACCTCTCCTTCCACCCGCGATACCCCGTCCTCCTCTCCTCGAGCGTCTCCTCCGTGCTCTACCTGCACCACCTCAACCCGACGGCCCACCCGACGCCGAACCCGATGCTTACCTCAGTGCAGGCCAAGGGCGTCGACGTCCGCCGCGCAGAGTTCCTCTACCCGTCGGGCGACCAAATTTTCTTCGCCGGCCGGCGCAAATTCTTCCACAGCTGGGACCTGCAGACGGGCAACGTGCAAAAGACGTCGCAGATCCAGGGCCACAGGCTCGAGCACAAGACCATGGAGCGCTTCAAGCTCAGCCCCTGCGGGCGGTACATGGGTCTCGTGGCGTCGACGCGCAAGGGTGGCGGCATCATCAACATCATCAGCACCGAGTCGAGGCAGTGGATCGCCGCCGCCCGGTTGGACAGCCGGCACGGCATCGCCGATTTCGTTTGGTGGAGCAACGGCGAGGGCATGTCAATCCTCGGTCGGGACGGCTCCGTCGGAGAGTACAGCGTGGCCGAGAAGCGGTTCCTGGCTGTATGGCACGACGATGGCTGCGTGGGCGGCATCGTCATCGCGCTGGGTGGCCATCAGGGCCCCGAACTCCTCGGCGACGACAGGTGGGTTGCCGTCGGCTCCAGCAGCGGCATCACCAACATTTACGATCGCCACACGCTCGTCAAGACGTCGTCCAAGGCCGGCGAGGTCGACGTCGAGCAGCGGCCCGAGCCGACACGCACGTTTGAGCAGCTCGTCACACCCATTACGGTGTTGACCTTCTCCCCCGACGGCCAGCTGATGGCATTCGGCAGCACAGAGTCCAAGGACGCGCTGCGCCTGGTTCACCTCCCCAGCTGCACCGTCTACAGGAACTGGCCCACGGAACAGACGCCCCTGGGCAGAATCACGAGCGTTGCGTTTGGGCGGAGCAGCGAGCTTCTCGCGGTCGGCAATGATACGGGCAAGATTAGAATGTGGGAGATTAGGAGTTAAGAAGGGTATCCAAAAAAGAAAATTCGGTTGGCATGTTTGTGTATTGAGGTTAATCATCTGGCGTGAGGGCCTGTCTTAATTACATCTCCCTGCATCAAAAACGGGCTGTCCTCTTGCCATGTCGACCTTTCACTCATCTCTCATTCTAGCATTAGAACCTCCCAGCATTAAAATCTCATCTTGCGCCGTAGGGAGCGGAGCGGATCACCCTTGGGGAGCTCCTTGCTGGACATGAACATGCGGTTCTTGCGGCAATACCGTCCAAGCTGGGAGGGATTCTTGAAGAACTCGACCTCGCCGGGTCGGTTCTCGACACTGAGAAACTGCTTGATGCTGACGTGGACCGTCTTCAGGGCCTTTATTCATAGGAGATTCACATTGTCAGCCGCCGATATATCACGCAGTGGTTCTTGAGGGTAACTCACCTTTCGGCATTGGGTCTTGGTGGGCAGATCCGCTTCCAGACCCAGATCACCGCAGAGACGCTGCCAGTCGGCCAGCTCTCTCTTGCCAAAGTATTCCTCCCAGCGCGCGACGAGGTTCGTCTGAACCTTCGCCTGCTCCTTTTCGGTCAGCTTCCTGTTCATCCTTGGCGCGCTGTTCTCGCCGTTCGCCTTCTTCTCCTCATTAGGATCGATGTTCTTGGGGTTCTTGAGGTCATCCAAGGCCTCCTTCAGCTCAACACAATCCAGGGTCGCATCGTTGCCCTTCTGATCATGACCGCCGTCTGCATTCTCCTCCCTCTTGATGTTCAACTGGATCATCATCTCCTCAATGTCGCGAAGATCGGCGCCTCCTTCGCCTCCATTATTGCCATTCTCCTCACCCTCACCCTCCTCCTTCTTGATGGTGAGCTCGCCCATCATCTTCTCCAAGTTCTGCAGCTTGGCGCCTCCTTCCTCAGCTGCGGCCTTCTCCCGGGCCTTGCGAGCGGCGCTCTTGGTTCTGCGAGTCATTGTCGGTTTGCAGAAAAATGAATGAGGCCGTATCGAGAGAAGTGAGTGGCGGATGAGAAAATGAGAAATTCTCAACTCAAAAGAGTACGAGAATGAAGCATGAGCCGATGCCGATATGACCGAAAGCGGTTTTATGCGGGCGCTCCGTTTGACCCGTGCTGGTTCAATAAGGGGGATAAGGTCGCACAAACCCGCCGCGGAAGGATGGCGATCGCAAAAGGTGGGAGAAAAGATGAAGTGAGGAACGAAGACTCACTCGACTGAGAAGCAGGCGTTTGTTATTCCACGCGTGTATTCAGGATAATACTCAGAGCCATGAAGTATTGCGTCTCAACTTTAGGACGTACATGGACCCTGAACGGCGCAGCATGAGATTGTCTCTGGTCTTAGCACAAACCTTGATCCCAGTCATATTTAATTACAGCAAACTCAAACCAGATCCAGTGCAAGGCAAAGAAGACGGGGGAATCATGTTCATTTACACGTCAAGAGACGTTCAAGTACTGATCGATGGCGGATGGGATCCTCTGTACCGCGTGGTCGTGTAGAGACAGCCGAGCAAGTTTGACTCGTCCAGTAAGGCGCTCAAGGTATACCATGTAAGACAGATTGAAATACATGCCAAGTTTAGAGTAGCCTCGGAAGAGACAAACATTTCCCCGAGATAACCATCTGCGCCTCTTTGCCTACATAGGGGTAAAGAAAGAATAAGAAACAAAAATTCCACAAAATTGTGTATGATACGATCACACTATTGCAGCACCGCTCTGAAACACTATCATTCAGAAATAGACGTGGAGATCTCGTGGTTATGGACCCCGAGATAACCGTTCAAGGTGCTCGAGGCAAGGCACTCGAGATTTAGATCCCATGCAAGCTTGTTCATTTA